GTAAAATTTCCACACACTAACCTGCCAGAAAAAAGAATACAAAGTTTCCATGATGCGGGTGATGGCTTACAACAAAAAGGAGTGGTACCTGATCGTGCTTGGGTGCATCGGAGGAGCCATCAACGGTGGCATTCAACCTTCCTTTGCAATTCTATTTGCCAAATACCTCGGGGTTAGTGCACGCCATATAAAATTACCAAACGCGTTAACTATTGCGAAATAAGATGTTTTAATTGAATTGTTTTAATTAAACTGGTTTAATTAAACTAGGTTTTCGACTTGAGGAAAGATCCGAGTGAACGCGATAAAGGAGTTTTGATGTTCTCTTTGTTGTTTGTGGCCCTCGGTGTGGCTGCCTGCTTATCCAGATTGCTTCAAGTACGTTTAACTTGAAAATTTATGATAGTGCTATATAACAAACGCTCTTTAAATAATCAAAAGTCAAATGTTTGAATCTTTCAAGCAAGTTCTGATTTATGTATAACCAAACTGTTTTATTCTGGTTAACATTTAACGTGAACTAACTAAAATGCGGAGCACAGGTGCAAATTTGGACAAATATGTAAAGAAACTTCAAGATTTATGAAAATATAAAAATGTTAAAATTGTAATTGAAGCAAATTTAATTAATTTGACGCAATCAAAATATTTCAAAAATATTTATTTTCTAACTATTCACAGTCTACTATGTTTGCCATATCTGGAGAAATATTAACAAAACGAATGAGACGCTTGATATTCAAACACATTCTCAAACAGGTTTGTATCATTTGTTAAAATTCTCCATTTCTTCAATAACAAGATGCTCTTACTTTTATAGAACATAGAATTTTTTGACGATAACAATAACGGCGTTGGAGCCCTAACAACCAGACTGGCTACTGATGCTTCCGCTATTCAAGGAGTAAGAGAAAACGTTTATTGAAACAAATCTGTCTAATGTTGGATATTTCTTTACAGTTGTAATATTTTCTTACCAATTAAATTTTAAGGCTACAGGCGCCCAATTTGGAATGGCATTTCAAAGTTTGTCGAGTGTCGGAGTTGGAATAATTATTGGCTTCATCTACAGTTGGCAGTTGACGCTGCTCATCATAGGGTGTGCACCTTTTATTATACTGGGCGGCATGCTCCAAATGAAATTAGCGAAAGGATTTTCGGGCAAAAACAATTCAGCCCTAGAAGCTTCTGGAAAAGTAACGTTTAACATACGCATGAATTATTTTCAGAATGGTTTTTAAACTCTGATTCGATTCGTCAATAAGGTTGCTACTGAAGCCATATCGAATATAAGAACGGTTGTGTCACTAACGAAGGAAGACAAACTAAAGAATGATTATTACAACAGCCTCATCGGTCCACACAAGTGAGCCATGCATTTATTTCAAAATTATTTTAAGCGGATTTTATTTCTATCCAATTGTTTTTTATGATCATAATATTAGATTGAGTCAAGTAATGTAATGGTTTAGTAAATTTTGATAAACTGAAACTTAATAATAAAACTTGGGCATTAAAGTAAAATGTTTTGATGAATAAAATTGAAAATATCGATTGAATGAATAAATTCTTTTTAATTAGAATTAAATTTGTAGGTCGAACATGAAGAAGGCTCATATCTATGGACTGGCCTTTTCCTTCTCACAAAGTTTAATATTTTTTGCATATTCCGCAATATTCCGATTGGGTGCTTATCTCATTGAACACAAATACCTCGAATATGAGAATATGTACATGTAAGAAGTTATATTTTTTGTCATTTGTTTGTGTTATTATGACAAAATTAACCAAAATTCATTCAATTAAAATTATTTTTGCAACAAACTGGAATATATTAATATTCATCAAGCGTGTTCGGGGCAATCATATTTGGGGCAATGGCTTTAGGACAGGCGAGCCAGTTTGCTCCTGATTACGCGAAAGCGAAAGCATCAATAGGCAGAGTCTTCAAACTGCTCGACAGTCAGCCATCAATCGACATTTATTCAGAGGGAGGAGCTAAACCGGTGAGTGTTCACAGGCAGTTTGTGTTCAGGGATTTTTTCTAACACTCGAATATTTTGATTCCAAAAGACTTCGTGTCAAGGTACAGTAGAATTCAAAGAAGTGTCGTTTGCTTATCCGAACCGCAAAGCTGTAACGGTTTTGAAAAAGTTGAATTTGAGCGTCAGCAGAGGCAAAACTGTTGCGTTGGTTGGAAGTTCAGGATGTGGGAAGAGTACTTCGATACAATTGCTTGAAAGATTCTACGACGTTCTGCAGGGATCTGTGGTGAGATGTGCTGAACTACTAAAAAGAAATAATGTCTTCATTTTATTTATAATCGTTATTTTTTCAAAATCAAAAAATTTAAGTAGAATATTTTTTAAAAATTAATGTTTTAGATGCTAGACGGGGTTGATATAAGATCTCTAAATGTTATGTGGATGAGGAGTCAAATGGGTCTGGTGTCACAGGAACCCATTCTGTTCGACTGCAGCATCAGGGAAAACATCGCCTACGGAGACAACAGCAGAGAAGTGAGCATGGAGGAAATTATGCATGCTGCCAGATTAGCCAACATCGCTACGTTTGTTGAAAGTTTGCCGCAAGTAAGTTTCATCTTGGCAAACAAATGTTCGGCGTAAATTAATAATTATTTTATTGTTAACTCGCTTCTAGGGCTACGAAACAAACGTGGGAGACAAAGGAGCTCAACTGAGTGGAGGCCAGAAACAGAGGATTGCTATCGCTCGTGCATTGTTAAGAAACCCCAAGATATTGTTGCTGGATGAGGCCACCAGTGCTCTTGATACTGAGAGTGAAAAGGTTACAATTTCTTTATAACTAAGCACATTCTATGCATATTTCATCCTTCATCCAAATTTATATACTAATTAATATTGCTGAGTAATAATTATAATCGCATAAGATGTGCAAATGCAAATGCAGATTGTTCAAGAAGCTCTGGACAGAGCTCAAGAAGGAAGAACGAGTCTGGTCATCGCGCACCGTCTCTCAACCATTCAAAATGCCGACTGCATATTTGTTTTCCACAACGGTGTCGTTGCAGAACAAGGCACGCACAACGAACTCATGTCTAGCAGAGGATTTTATTACCGACTTAACGTTGCTCAGGGAAGCAGATGAATGTAATTATATGTACAGTACAACTTTTTAAAACGCAGTTTATTTTAACTTTTATTAAAGTTTTTAACATCACTGCATTTTTTAGTTCTGAATTTAACATAATACCTTGTCATGCGAAAGATGTAGAAATTTCAATTATTATCTCAACTCTATGTTTGTATGTTTCTCAAATTATGTGATATAAGTGATCTGGCTGAATATTTCTCATACGGTTTTATATTTTTTTGATATTATCATGCAAATTTATTAATTTGACAATTTGCAACTTGAATTTATAAGTTTTACTTGTATTTTTGACGAAAAGACATGACCATTTTATATGCTGTATATTATTCTTATGTATATAGTGCAATGCAACATTTTCATCTGAAAGAAATTAAATTTAGTTTTAAATATACAAATTGTAAAATTGTATTGTGAACAATTGATACTGTAAATTACATTTAAAAAGCCGCGTCTCCTCAAATTCATCGATATATTTCCCATTTATATTTTTATTGGCGAAACGTTTTTCCGTTAGTGAACGAAGACTGAAGTTTGCCGCTTATGTTGGATAAAGTTTGTTTTGTCCAATCAGCTTATTTGATGGCAACTTTGCGATCATTTCCTGTTTTGGTTTGGAATGCTCTAACCTCAGAGTTTCAGAATTTAAAGATTTAATTGGAAGTAAATAGGTTTCAGGTCCAACGGCTTGCAGTGAGTTTGCTGATG